ATATATATATATATATATATATATATATATATATATATATATATATATATATATATACACTGCCGTCGAAAAGTTTCCGGACAATGCCTACACCTAAAATTTAAGTCTTCTCGCGTTTTCTCGAGGCTTCTCGTATTAGTTTCTCTTTAATAGTATTTGACCTCATGGTATACCCAAACTGTTTACACAACATACATAAAACTCGACCTGTCTATGCGACGTTGCTGCGTAACACTGGTGATCCATTATTATTCGGAAATCAGTCTAGCGTCACAGTCGAAATTTTGTCTTGACTAAACTGCTCTGTAGTATTATTCTCGTACTCCACTTCACAATATCAGTTGTTTACATTGATAACAGAACATAGTGGTACGTATTTTAGTTACTGTTGTTATTTCACTTGTGAGTTCAAATCGAATTTTTGAAAGAACACTATCACATTGTATTTTGCATTAAAAAAAAAAAAAAAATGGGTCGAGGGCCTAATTTAAGCATAGAAAAACGTGCAGCAGTTACTGCGCTTCACGATGACAATCGCAGCATACGTTATATTGTGGAAAAATTGAAAATATCGCGGTCCACCGTAAGCGACGCTATTACGCGCTTTAAAAAAACCGGCTGTAACAAGGACAAGGCTCGCACCGGGAGGCCTTGAGTTACTTCCAAATCAGAGGATAAGTCCTTAGTTTTAATGTCAAAAATGAATAGGAAGCTTACCGCACCGGAAATCCAATCGCGGTTCAATGAAAATCATGAACATCAAATATCGGTGACTACTGTCAAGGATCGTTTGCACAAAGCCGGTCTTTAAAGTAGAGTTTCCATTAAAAAACCGCTTCTCCGGCGCGGGAACAGGGCTTCAGTGGGCTCAAAATCACAAAGACTGGACCATCGAAGATTGGAAACAAGTTTTGTGGACCGACGAATCAAAGTTCGAGATTTTTGGTAAAAAACGAAGAATGTATGTCCGTCGTGCGCCTTAGGAAAAAAAATGAACCCAGATTGCATAACTCCTACAATTAAACACGGCGGAGGATCCGTGATGGTGTGGGGATATTTCAATTATACGGGCGTGGGAGATCTCTACAGAGTCAAGGGAATACTTGACCAGAAAGACTACCACTCGATTCTGAGTAGGCATTATATTTCGTCCGGCAAACGTTTAATTAGTCGTGGATTTATCATGCAGCAAGATAATGACCCCAAACATACCTCTAAATTATGTTCTAATTATCTGCATCGAAAAGAGGAAGGCGGAGAGCTCAAAATGATGACCTCCTCAATCTCCGGATCTTAATCCCATTGAACTTCTGTAGGATGAACTTGATTGCCGAGTTCGGAGAGTCTGTTCCACTTCTCAAGAGCACCTTTGGGAGACCCTCGAGAAAGAATGGAATAAAATACCAAATTCTGTATTGGAAAAACTCATAGAAAGGATGCCGCGATTGATGAAAAAGGTGTTGTCCACCAAAGAAGGTTGGTTCGATGAAAAAAAGGTATGAGTTTTAAGCTAAGGATGGGTTCTAATTCGTAAAATTTTCAGTTTTTGTTAGTTCTAATTGTAAACTAAATAAAATTTATTATTTTTTTCATAGTAATTAGCGTTTTATTAAGAATTTTCTCGACTTATACCCCTATCCGGGAACTTTTTGACGGTAGTGTATATATATATATATATATATATATATATATATATATATATATATATATATATATGTATATATATGTATATGTATATACTATATATATATTTACAAATATAATATATACTGTTGTATGCACTTATCGTAATAAAAATTATATTTTTTACTATAATAACATTAATGTTTTATTATTATTTTCTATGCCCGTTACTACAATAAATATTATTAATGTTATAAGTATTTTTTATATATTGGCAGTAACAAATTTGATTTTATTATAGTTAAAAAAGAAATAAAAATATTCTCGTACGTTTCATACAGTAACTGAAAAAAGCGGGAGTGGTCATTTTGTTGTAAGACGTTATTGCCGAATCAGATATTTTGCCTGTCACAGCCTTTCCATATGTCAAAGTCCCAACTTAGCGATCTAGGTTGCATTCCAAAACGTTCTTTTTGAGGAAAATTTTACTCAATATCTATAGTTCACGTTACATATACTATAGAGTATCGAGTAAAATTTCCTCAAAAAAGACGTTTTGGAACACAACCCTAATATATATAGACATCTGTGCCTGCGCAGTAAAACTTATGTATATGCAACTATTTCAAGTATAGGGACCCTGACGCCTTAAGGTGCCAATACATGGGAGCGTTCCAGCGTCGAGCGTTAAAGCGTTAGCCAATCAACGTATCAGGTCCCAGAAGTATATTTGTAGTTCTTGCGGAAAGTGGCACGTTGATTGGCTACCGCTTTAACGCTTGACGCTTAATGCTCCTATGTAAAAGTACCTTTATCGAAACTAAACTCATACACACACAACGTTGTAGACACTTTCCATATTTACTTTTTTTATTTATTATCAATTACTCAGTTTCTTTAATACATTTCCAGTAAGAAATGACTTGTCGATCGACGTCGAAAAGACGTCGCTATGTTTACATGCATATATGTTTACATTTTGTCGCCACGCTTGCGCATTGCGATCATAGGACACTCTTTTCTAGTGAGCCAATTACAGTCCATCCTCTATCCTTCAGTCTTCTTTCACTCTCTTTTATAGCAAAAATTCCTCTACGCGCCATATAGTAGTATTATATAGACTAAGTTTACACGGCAACTTAAAACCGGTTTAGTAATTACCGTAGTAGTTAATAAACTCTTGAATCCGATTGGAGTATATTTCTAAATCTAAAAAAATATTCCAATCGGATACGAGAGTTTACTAAATACGATTGTTACTAAACTGGTATTTTAAGCTGCCGTATAAACTTAGTCATATATGGTTAACCTGATCTGGAAAAAGACTGTGCTTAAGATAGGTTTCAAGTTACGTTTAATGTCGGTCTACAACCTGCTTTAAGCTTTAACACATAAGCAACTGACCAATCACAATCGATTATTCTTAAGACGTAAGGAGAATAATTGACTGTGGTTGCTTAAGGCCATCACACACAAAATTCTGTAAAAACTTAAAACGTAAGCGTAAAGAAATTGACCAATCTCAATCGAGCACTCGGCTCTTCGTAATCCCTCCATTATTATGAAGAGCCGAATACTCGATTGAGATTGATCGATTTCCTTAAGCTTACGATTTAAGTTCTTACGGAATTTTGTGTGTGATGGCCTTTAAGGCTTAAAGCTTAAAGCAAGGTTATAGACCGACGGGTGGGACCCGATTGACCACGATACGATTGGACATAGATTGTATGATTGGTTCGAACTAGTAATTCACTAGATAATTCTTTTTATCGGTTGGTTGTATCCAATCGTATCGTGGTCAATCAGGACGCTCCCTAGACTGACATTTATGAATTCCGCCCTAAGGCCGGTATTCATAGGCCGATCTTATAGCGTGTTCGACTGGCCCTGGGTTAATCGCTCCGAGAGCGATTAATGACGTTATAAGTCTCTACTAACCAATCATAAAGCTTATAAATACTTTTTCGACCAATAAACGTAGGCTGAATAACCCAGAGTAGGTTAACCAGTCGAACATGCTATTATATTTAAAATCATCTTAAGTACTGTCTTGTGGTATCATGAACCAATTACAGAGCATATTCGCATCTTAAAATATTACTTAAGACGGTCTTAAAACAAGATTCGACAATGGGTGTGTTCCAATATTTACTGCCAGTACTGAAAATCTATAGTATACGTAACATGAACTATAGATTTTCAGTACTGACAGTGAATATCGGAACGCACCCTATGAATACTGGCCTAAGGGTGCTATTTCACGTGTCGTATGACAAGCTTTTCGGATACGTTTATTGGTTGGCGAATAGAGTATTTCTAGGTTCTCTGTTCGTCAACCAATAAACGTATCCAAGAAACTTGTCGTACGACACGTGAAATATCAGCCTAAGTGTCTGTAGAATTGATATGAGTCGCGCGACCTCATCGTTACTATCGAGAAATGCACATAATGGTCGTTCTACATTAGTTGCAAGTCGATTGTAACTCTTGTTGCGACAGCCAATCAGAAGCGTCAATAGCACTATTGATGCTTCTGGTTGGCTGTCGCAATAATAATTGCGTCTGCTTGCGATCGACTTACAACTAATGTAGAACGACCTTAATGTACGTAGTGTACATGCACTTCTTCAGGGGGCGTCGAAGATCTTTGAGTGGCGGCTCTTAAGTTCTCTCTCTTTATAACTGGCTGATCTCAGATTTGGTATATGTGGATCGTACTTTAAATACTTCGAAGCATTTGTCGTTCTAAGCGGACTATTCTGTTGCGGCCATTGCGGTGACGATAATCTATCTAGTGGTGCGTCGATAGCGTGTCATTGCTTGTCGTTTTTGTAGCGTAATACACGACTTCGAACACAGCGTGAACGGAGCCACCAAGTAGTGTCAAAATGGCGGCATGTGAAGGTTCTGCGAGTGCAAATCCGAATTGCGAAGTAGTGCGCGGGCAAACATTTGAGGTCGGTCCGCGCTACACAAATCTATCATACATGGGCGAAGGCGCCTACGGCATGGTCGTGTAAGTGTTAACGAGTTGATTTCATGTCAGAGTAATTAGCAGCGGAAAATCGTTTCAGCTGTCTGATAGATGTTGAGATAAACATTGAAAGAAGCAATGCGATGTTACATGAAATTCGACGTCAAGTGCGTCATGTAGCATTGCATGATGATTTAATGCGGTCACACATGTCAAAACATGGGTTACGAAGTATTTAACGTGCATAGTTATGCCGATAGCGGTATGCGATGAGTGAAATTTATTCGCTATTTGTATTACACATATTATGTATCTCAACATGTTTCGCCGCTACTTTAAAAAACACGTTACGCCCTTTTATTGTTCTATCACTTATTTTTCATTTGTTTTATCATTTATTTTTTATTCTTCTATTTTCTTTTTATTCCTTGTATTTCCTTGTACTCGTTATATTAATAAGATAAAATAATACTTTACAATTTGACCTTATTATTTTTATCAACACGTTATTTTGATGAGATGTAACATGTTTTTGGCAAGTTATGTTGATGCGTACACATGCGTATACATAATATGTTTTTTATGTTAAATTATCGTTATGATTGTTATTTTTATTACAATTGCTATTTTATCACATAATGTTGACATAGCTAAGATTATGGCTGATAATGGAATATTTTTTGTGGCAAGATATTTAGAACTATTGTATCATTATTGATTGTACTACTGACTTTAAGGAGTTTATTTATCTAAACGAAAATACTTAAAATTATACATAAATTTAACATAATATTTATACAATAAGGCACATTTGTAATTAAAGTTTCATGCAATTTGTCTGCATTGTTAATATGAAATTTATTACTGAATATGACAATTTTGCACATGTAACTTATAGTGGAAGCTAAAGTTCCTCAAATCAGAATCAGGATATTGTTTGTTATTTGTAGAGAGAAAGTGAGCAAATGATTGAAAGAAAAGCTGCAGCGTGTTTCATTATTTCAATCTTAGAACTTTTCTTATTTCTATTAGAGTCTCTCCCATTTTCTCTCATTTCTATTAGTCACTCCCACTCATATCATTTCTAAAAATGACGGAAAGAATGCAAGCAATTAGAAATTATCATACTTTGTTCTAATTATGACTAGAGGAACTTTGGTAGAAGCAATATAGATACCATTATTTCAATGTAACATCGTATAAAATAATACTATCAAAATAAAAAAACTTACTGTTATAAATGTTATATATTAAGAAACACAGCATAGAAGAAAGAATAGTATTTACTACATCGTTCTTGTGTAATGACTGATTGTAGATCAGAAAACTGTTGTGTCATACTTTGAGTAGTATTGTATGGCATAAAATATGGCAAGGTAGTAAATTAGTTTCAAATTAACATTTATTTAGATAGTTATTTAGAGATAAATATATATCACAAATATATTATTTAGATAATTACTTAAATAAATATATAAAAAGTATATAAACTATATAAATATATAAAATATATAAATAAATATATAAAAATGTAATTTTGTTTGTTAAACAGCAAATTTATGAATAGCTGCTTTGTTGCATTACTAAAAGTATATTCTTTAGATGTCTTGAAAATACATAATTAGTGAATAAACTCCTTAATTTTAAGGATGAATTCTTTGACAAATTATTAATTTAACGATTTTTTCATAATTAATATCTTGAAATTTAGAATTTTTAAATATTGAGGTATTAAATTTTCATATTAAAAATGATTACTAATTTAAGATTTTTTATTATTTTTATAGACTATATTTGTTTTTAGATTCTCTCATGCTGAAAAGATTCTTTATTCAATCTTTTTTGAGATATAATAGCAATAAAAATAAAATTATGCTTTCCTTATTTAAAATTACTAATATAAAACGATAATATAAAATATTTAACCTAAATTTCAATAAAAACAATGTGAGTCAATAAGATGATTGATTTACATTAAAATTTAGACTGGATGTAATGTAATCTCATTGTTTTGTATCCATTATTTAAACAATGTTTATATACAGAATCATATATAGATTGTCCCATTTTAATCAACACATTTGAATATCTCAAGAATTAAGAGTTTTATCTAAAAATGTTTTAAGTAAAAATTGTATGGTTTCAAGGGACAGAAAAGATGATAATATTAATTTAACCTTAGAACAATCTCAGAAATACTATTAATTTTCATTTTTTAAATCAAATCATGTGATTTTTCTGACATAAATAATAATTTCTTTGATTATATATCCTGTATAATCTTTTGGTTATATATGCTATAAAAATACATGGTCAAAATCATAAAAAAAATGAATCATTCCCAAGATATTTACATTTTATTTTGATATTTCTCAGTACAAGATATAAAATATCTCTATTAAAATGGTAATAAATTATAATGGTTCTCAGATATAAAATAAAAAATAAATTAGGCAAGAAAGACGTTTAAGAGCCTAAGCACAGGTTTAATAGTGCAATAAAAAATAATTATAATAAAAAACAAATCTTATACGTTTCGACCTGCTTTAGGTCCTCTTCAGTGAAATAACAAAAATAAAGTAATCGCTAGTTAAAACATAATTAAGTTAACAAAATAATCGAGAAGACGCACGTTCGCAAATTAATCGCTTGTAGAACAAATTTGCATAAGAACGCAAATGATAAAATTCTCCTTTCTCTGAAGCGTCAGCGCAATGCGTCCATTTGTAAGGACGATGTGGAGCAGGCAAATGCCGTTATGACAATGTCAAAGATGTTTGTAAAGTCAATCGCCGCGAGAGAAGGCTTGGTTGTCGCACGGAACGTGTCTGATCGTTAGTCAAGTCGCCATGTGCTCGGGATAGCGCCAGAGATGTCGCTTCTGAACGATATCTCTTAGATATCCTGAAATAAGAGATCGGACACTATATGTCAACGTTTTGATTAGCTGGACCATATTTGGGTTCCTGCTTCCAGTTAGGATTATGAGCTGAATGACAACACAAGCAGTGGTCTGTTCTTTTCAGCTGCACTAATTGCACTGCTGAACTGATGCAATAAGTATACTTCCGGTTTGGACTCAAACATGGCGAATCTGGTATCTATAGGCGATGATATCCGATCTCTTTTTAAAGGATCTCTAATATCTCTGAACGTTATCTAGGGAGAGGAGAGCGTCGTGAGCGTGGAACGTCAGGTAGCTCGGTGGTTTAGAGCAGTCGCCCGACAAGCGAAAGACCCGGGTTTGAATCCTGGCCTAGCATACCGCGTTTTCGATATTTTTCTCTAGAACGAAAAGAAAACGCAGGTCCCGAACATACGGCGTCCTGCCGCCACCTAGTACGCCCTCCTCTTATGGTGAAATCTCCTCTCTCCAGCGTGTTGTGAAACCCGGGGGCTGCCAAAAAATTGGTATCTACTCCGGCTTTTTCTATGATTTACACCAGAGAGGCAACGGTGGGGACGGGCATGCATGGACAACAGGTCTTAAAGGATACCAACCTTTGACTAGGTAACTTGACTAGTGATAACTTTGTTTTTATTATTTCACTGAAGAGGACCTAAAGCAGGTCGAAACATATAAGATTTGTTTTTTATTGTAATTATTTTTTATCATACTATTAAACCTGTGTCTAGGCTCTTAAATGCCTTTCTCTTCTAATTTCTTTTTGATAAAATATCTCGTGAAAATCTCGTAAATTCAATACATTTTTTTTATTTATTAGGGTATAATTATTCCGTATAAGGGATTCAGCTCTAATCACTTTGATTTTGAGATATTTTGTTAAGAACGTTATCCTAAGTAACCTTGAAATGATTTCAGTCGGTGCTCATTGTTTATTGAAAAGATATTAGCAAAGGAAATTTAGATAAAAATATCGAATAAGAGATCCAGTTTCTATGATCTCGACCATATGTTATCAAGGATATGTCTCTAAGTAACATTCAAAAAGTTTTAAATGTCGTTCAATGTTTGTTAAAAAGTTATTAATAAAAATAGTTTTATAAATGAAACGTAATTTTGGTACACAATATACATACAGTATACGTAAATATGATAAACAGTACACGTATATGCGCGGGGGAGGGGGAATAATTAGCAGACTTACATAAACAATTCTTATTAATTTATAACTTTTTACAACTTTTTAAATGTTATTTAATTTTACTCCTTTGTCCAATTCCCCTTAATCTTTTTATACGTAGAATAACGAGAGAAATTGATTCGTGATATTAATTTTTGCATACTCGTGCATCAACTCATGAATTATTTGTGAATGTACTAATAAGGGGAGGACCAGGTGACTCACCATGGGATTTTGACCCCAATTTTTTTAATTATTCTGGAGATGAAAAAAAAAGATACGTGTCCCGGCGTTTGATTGAATAGGCCTTAGTTTTGGAGTAATAAATTTGTGAAAATTGGTCATATCCAAAGCGCACCATGACGCGCCATATGAGCCTTCCCGGTAACTATACTTCCAGTGCAGTTGGCTTCGTGAGTTAGGTGCTTGCTTCATAATTCGTAAGATCCAAGTTCGCTCCCGGAGGTGAGCAATAATTTTTTTTTTAATGAGTGTTTTTATTTATTTTTATTTATTTTGATGATATTGATATAGTATGCAAATTTTTGAAATAGAAAATTTAATTTAATATCACATTCTAAACATTAATTTAAATTTAATTTTGAAGGAATTTTAATTTAAGTAATAATATTTGAAATAATAAATAAGTAATAATCATAATAATATATAAGTTATTTGTAATGGATAACATATAAAGGCAACGTATCTAAATTTGCAAATTGTTTAAATTTAAAATTTAATTGGAAATAATATTAACAGTATTTTAAATTTCTAGTTTTTAAAATAATTAATCGTAAAAGAAGAAGAATAAACAAACATCTGAAATGTGAATGTGAATATTTTTATTACAAAATTCAATTATTTAAGTATTGCGGATTTATTACAAAATTAAATTATCCTACCTGCAGTTGAGCGAATATGAGCGGATGTTCTGTCAGACATTCTGTACACGCGCGT